TATAAATGCAATCACATTACAATATACTATTGTACTAAGGAAAAAATGTACTTATGTACAATATAATTTCATGCCAGGATCTGTGATCTAATCATCGTTTAATATTAATTGTGACTGTCGGGATTTAATTGGTGATGATATTATGAAATGTGTATTTGTTGGAAGACTTCGCCGCTTCGACGCGCTGCGCAAACTAGCATTCTTGCTTTGATCTGGAAGGGTTGACACCGTCAATCAAGTGTATTTGGTGAGTTTTTATTATGTATTCGTTTCTTACGTTAAATGAGGAAACAATATGTTTCTGGGGTTTATTTCAATGCAATTTTGGGTAGAAAATTGTAAATATTTGATTCGAATTTGATTTTCAAAAATATGCATATGTGTAAAATAATGATATATTGAAATCATCAAGATATGCAAAATGCACGTTGCACCATTGGTCCTTTCTGGGCCGCGCTCAGCCTGTCATTCCGCCTAATCTCTATTATGTTTATGAACACGATAGCCTGAGGTCCCTTAACGGGTGATACTCGTAAAATATCTGTTCCATATATTGGACCGTCGACGAGTCCAACTTTGACGGATGTTACTCATCTAAATTTCTTCGAAGTAGCGCGCGCCGCTTTCTTCTCGAAATGGCCCGACGGCATGAGCTACGAAGTAGCGCGCGCCGGGCCAAATCATTAACAATGGTCAAGTCCAACTCGGCGCGCATCCTGGTCACTGGTAAGTTGTAAACCTACAAGAGGTCCCCAGGTAACATTGGTCCTTACTGGGCCGCGCTCAGCCTGTCATTCCGCCAAATTTCTATATGCAATATATGATAATGAACATGGTAGCCTGAGGTCCACAGGTAACATTGGTCCTTGCCACGAGCTGCAAATGAGTGACATCATTATAATTAATTAACCCTTCAATTAAATGTTAAAAGATTTAATAAGAATTGCAGTACAGTGCAGCTTATTTTACTGTTTACTTGAGGGTGCGCACAAAATTTTATAGTTTTAGCAAGATAAACTGTAAAACTTAAAATATTTTAATAAATTAATCCTGTAAAGCAATTGCAGCAATTTTAAATTTTAATGGTTTTAAATTTTTGATTGACGATCACGATGTCAACTCTTTTTGCTTTCAGATCGTTGCTCTGCAATTAATTAACAAAGCAATAATATTGTCTTCGATGCGAAGTAAACAGTAAAAACAATAGTTTGCGCGGCGCGTTGAAGCGGCGAAGTCATTACTTACTTGGGTTACTTGGGGTTGCTTCATAGATCCTCTATCGGGTCATCAGAACGGCTGACCACCCGTGCAGCGAAGTTGCTGTCTTTTCTGCGCTCCAGTTCAATAACGAATTCCCGTTCTGGCAACAATATCCAGTAACAGGAGGTTCGTCCGGAATAGATGTAACAAACTCCGTCAACAATGACTTGAAACGTAGGGGGTCCTCGATAAGGTGCAGGTTTGCGGGAATGATGTTCCACAATCGAGGCCCCATCACTACAAATGAGCTGTCAAAGATCGATTGATTCCTTAGGCTACTGGACGTTGACAAGCTAGGGACTACTGCTTTCTGGCCATAACGGAGTGTATCTGTAAACTGAACGTTGACATCATTAGGACACTTCTTGTGTAGGATCTTCCACATATGAATGATAGTGTAACGTTCTCTCCTCCGTTGAAGTGACATCAATTTTAAGGCCTTCAGTCTCTGCCAATAGTTCAGATGTTGCACACCATGTATTTTGGACGTAAATGTACGTTGTACTCCCTCTAGCTCAGCGATATCAGCTTGCTTAGTTGAATTCCAGAGGGGACAACAGTACTCGAGATGGCTTCTGACTAATGACTTGTAGAGGGTCAGCATAGTGATCTTGTTTCTCGATCTAAAAGCGCTCAGAACCCAAGAGGCAACTTTACGGGCACGATCTGCTATCATAGTAACATGTGAGCTCCAAGACAAGTCCGCCGAGATCAAAACCCCCAGGTCTTTGACTGCATCCGTAGGGTACATTATGTTACCATGCGAAACTTGATAAGTTTGCGTCAGGATGGCAAACGGGAGGTCTTGCAAGCTGTTTCGGGGACAGTGTTTGTGCACGAGTATCTCAAATTTATCCTCATGCAATGACATGTTATTGCATCTTGCCCAGTCAATGACAGAGTTGAGATCATTTTGCAGTATACTTGCATCTTCAAGTGTATAGATGTGCCTCAAAATCCGTGTATCGTCAGCAAAGAATCTAATGACACATCCTGTGATGCACAGCTTCATGTCATTAATGAACAAAATGAAAAGCAGCGGGCCCAAAACTGTACCCTGTGGCACTCCGCTTATGATTGCTGCAGCAAGTGATGACATCCCGTCCAACACAACACACTGTGTGCGGTCACTTAAGAAGGATTCAATCCACGACACCACCTTTTCGTGAATTCCCATTCTTCTAAGTTTCTTAATAAGCAGTCGGTGATCCACTTTATCAAATGCTTTCGCAAAGTCAAGGTATATGGCATCAGTATCAGCGTTTTTCACCAATCCTTGAACAATGTCATCAACGTGACTGAGCAGTTGGGTGAGACAGCTCCGCCCAGATCGAAAGCCATGTTGATTATCACAGAGTAATCCGTTCTTCTCTATGAAGCTAACCATCTTGCCACGCAGTATGCGTTCGTACACTTTTATAACGTGAGATGTGAGCGCCACCGGCCGGTAGTTGACAGCTCTCGCCCGATCACCCTTTTTGTATAGAGGAGTGATGTAGGTATCTTTGTAGAACTTAGGTACTTCACCACGCTCAAAGGATTCGCTCCAGATGAGCCGTATCGGCTCGCACATCTCTTTTGCACAGCTCTTTAAGAGGATAGCAGGTATTCCATCAGGTCCGCTAGCAGAGTTAGGAGGAATATTCCCAATTGCAGATATGATATCGTCATCCATGATGCAAAAATCTTCAAGAGTTTGCGGATGTTCGATCATAGGTAACGGGAAATCTGGGTCCTTGATATCAGGAGAGCTTGGATCACTGAACACGGAGCTGAACTGCTCCTGAAGTAAGTCCGCCATCTGCTTTGTGTCAGTAGTGATCTCCTGGTTTGCATCAAATAGCATGTTAATACTGGATTTGATAGTTGAGAGGGATCGGGCATAACTATAGAAGAACTTCGGATTACTTTTAATCTTCTCGATGGCTCTGTTCTCCTTCTCATCCAGTTTCTTGGTATGTGCAGTCATGATGTCGTACTGTAAGAGTGCAACTTTATTCCTGACTGCCTTGATCTGGTCTTCTGAAGCATTCTTGTCAATTAATGCTTGGAGTCGTGCTTTTTGCCGGTTGCATTTCCGTCTCAACGCGTTGCTGTGCTTAGGACGTCCAGAGGGCACCGATTTCTGAGGAACACACGAACAGCAAATCTGGAACAGGGTCTCCGTAAAAAGAGCAGGAAACTCCTCAAAGGAGCATGAGTCACGAAGCTGAGACCAGTTAACTTCCTGTAACTCCTCCTTTAGAGCATCAAAATCCGCCTTAAAAAAGTCAAGAGACCTGAAGCTACTTTCGTCAAACTTAGGGATGGTAGCCTCCTTTCGGGATAGCGGATTGGTAGCGAGCATAACATCCACCAGATGATGGTCAGACAGTGAGGTAGCTTGTGCCTGAACATTAGTAACAAGTCTGCTGTTATTCGTGATGAACAAGTCTAGAACATTGTTACCCCTGGTTGGACAAAGGACGTATTGACTCAGCAGATGCTTGGCCATGAAGTTGAGAAGGGAGTGAGCTGATAGCTGAGTCTCACTGGAACCTCCTGACGACACGGATACAGTCTGCCAGTCTATTCAATTGTATTTTACATTTTATGTTTTATTATTTGCTTGTTGTTTGTCATACGTCATACGTTGTATGACCCGCCGCGCACGACACACGAAGTGCGCGGCTCCCCCTGTATCGTCAGGACGATAAAATCGTCAGGACGATATAGTGAAACGACCGTGGGGGTCGCAACGTGATACAACTTGTTGTCATGTTAAACAATTTTTCTATTGCATACTATTTTCTGTTGTAGGATTATAACCTACCATGTACCAGGGCGCATGCCGAGTTGGACTCGTCGACGGCGCGGTATTTTGAAACTAATATTTTACCCGTTAAATTGTTTGTTGCATGCGCGCAGGTTGTCAGATGTGCATTAATATTTTATTATGCAGGGTATCGTATGTACACACAGCAATGAGGTGTAATTAGGGGGTGCACCATCAAAATAAACTTGCTCGGATTTTAAAAATTTTTGTACCATCGTTTTCTAGAGACTGTGAGAATTTTCACAATACCAAATTTGTCATACCTTTTTGGAAAGATCAGTGAGTTTCGCCTAGGTGCCATATTTGATGGTGCGCGGCTTTTGGAGCAAAATTAGCTGTAAAAGTCGCGTAATTTGACCAAATTTGACCAAATTCGTTGATTTTTGTCGTATTATTTGGATATATCTTCAGTTCCTTGAATGAGATCATTCTGAAAATTGGCGACGACCTTCGAAGGTCGTCGCCAATTTTCAGCTTCCAATAGGGCTTTCACAACTGTCCGAAAAATTTGGTGGATATCGGAGTTGATGAAGTGATCAAAATGGGGCAAAATACGCTGCTTTTAGCTGTAACATAATGTCTGATGGTCGGATATGCTTTAAACTTTTCGGACACTTTCCTTGTAAATCTATGAGTAAGCTTACCAATTTTTGTTGCAATCGGAGGTCGGGAAAGATACTTAATATCTATTTGTTTGAAGAAAATTGTGCTGGCCGAAATTAGCGCTAAAAAACCATCCTACAGTCGGCACGCGCGGCTCACTGTCAATGGCGCACTACCTAGTGTAATTATATATGTTGTCACATTGTATTCTGTGTAAAATCATCTTTATCCCGGTTGTTGCGACAAGTAAAAATGCTCTTATTAGGGAAAGGAGATTACTCGACGTTTCAATGTAATTGTAACTACATCGTATTCATGATCTCAAATTATTTGTTATATAGTAGTGTTGAAAGTATTAAAACTTTGTCACAAGTATTAAAACTTTGTCATGTCACATTGATGTATTTAAAACTTTATATGACATTGCAATACAATGTTTTTAAGTGACAAGAGTGTAGTCGTGTATGAGTAATAGTCAGTGTAATAAGCGCCAAGCGCGAGCACAGAACTTTTTTTCTCCGATTTTGATAAATTTGGTACCAAAATTTGTCTAAAAATGTGAATAAAATAAATCCACCGTGTAGCAATTTTTGCTAAAAATGCTACACAGCGCTTGTTCGCCGCGCGTGCTTTTTTCGCGCAAATTTTTAGTTTTTGGCCTATAACTTTCACATTTTCAGTTATTATCACATAATTATTATGGCATCGTAATCAGCTCATCGAGACAAAACTTTTAGTACTAATATTTTAAGATTTAAAGGAAAATTATTTTCAAAATTTTTCAATCTGAACAGTGAACACAAGGGTCCCCCCTTGTGTGAAATTTTAATGCTTCAAATATTATAATTTTAGTACCAAAAGTTGCGTCTGACTAAGCTCATTACGATACTGTAATAATTATTTCAAAATATTCAATATTTTAGGAGTTATAGGCATTTTAAGCAATAAATTACCCATTTTTCGTCCTTTGTACATTCTTGTTATGCACAGTAGGCCCACATATAGCTCGACGTTATTTTGCTACACGGTGAATTTGCATTATTCACACTTAGAGGCAACTTTTGGTACCAAATTTATCAAAATCAGAGACAAAAAATTCTGTGCCAACTCATGGCGCTTATAACTGGGACCCCATTCTTCCTAAAATTGCCATTCTTCCTAAAATTGCCAAATCCTTAAAGTCCAGACCATCTGGCATTTCCTTCTCAACCTCAACAGAAGACTAAATTTTTACTGACATTGTACTGTAATTTTCACTTTCCCACCCACACCTCCCCCACCCTCCATCCCTGACACCACTCAATCACATATAAGCATTGTCCACCCCATCACATTCAGCTGACGACGATTAACACATGTTTATTGAAAGCTTCTACAAGTTAAATCATCGTATCTCTTATATGTTTCTAACCCAACTCCACTCAGACTTATAACATAGACTATAATGGGGTTAAATATAAAATCAAAGAATTACAATCACAATATTCAATTCAAAATCATTGAATATAACCTGGCCCACGTAGTGGGCCAGGTTGTCTCCACAGCGTTGATCAGGGCTCTCTCGTAGTCACTCATGATAGATTGAGGGTCGACTTCAAATGCAAGGAGCTCATCCCAGAGGGCTTCATAATGAGCCTGTGTCTTTCCGGGGAGTAAGCCGAATGCAAGGGGAATTCTCCAGCCGTGGGAATGGGTCTTCGTACTGGTCACAGCAGTGTCGTTCGCGAGACTTAGGCGTCCGGAGCAGGTCTTATTAGTGCATCGTCAGTAGGTCTTGTCGTCGCGCTTCTTATCCAGTAGTAATCGCACTAGAGTACGTGTCGCACTACAGTACGATTACCAAAGTAAGAGTGTCACTTCGTGCAGATGAGTAGCTTCAAATATCACATTTTGGTTTCTCTCCAGTATGAGCAAACATACGTCTCTTTAAAACAAATGATGTGTTAGCCCTGCAGTAACACAAACTGCAGGGATAAGGTTTCTCTCTAGTGTGAGTTCGTTTGTGAGCAGTGAGATGAGCATTTTGTCTTGCAGAGTAGCTACAAATATCACATTTATAAGGTTTTTCTCCAGTATGAGTAAACATATGTTTTTTCAAATTGCTTGATTGGCTAGCTCTATAGTCACACAAATTACATGGGTAAGGTTTCTCACCAGGGTGAGTTCGTTTGTGACTCTTCAGAGAACTTTTACTTCCAGCCGAGTAGTTACAAATATCACACTTGTGAGTATTCTCTCCAGTGTGAGTAAACATATGTCTCTTTAAAACAACTGATGTGTTAGCCCTGTAGTAACACAAACTGCAAGGATAAGGTTTCTCTCTAGTGTGAGTTCGTTTGTGAGCAGTGAGATGAGCATTTTGTCTTGCAGAGTAGCTACAAATATCACATTTATAAGGTTTTTCTCCAGTATGAGTAAACATATGTTTTTTCAAATTGCTTGATTGGCTAGCTCTATAGTCACACAAATTACATGGGTAAGGTTTCTCACCAGGGTGAATTCGTTTGTGACTCTTCAGAGAACTTTTACTTCCAGCCGAGTAGTTACAAATATCACACTTGTGAGTATTCTCTCCAGTGTGAGTAAACATATGTCTCTTTAAAACAACCGATGCCTTAGCCCTGTAGTCACACAAACTGCAGGGATAAGGTTTCTCTCTAGTGTGAGTTCGTTTGTGAGCAGTGAGATGAGCATTTTGTCTTGCAGAGTAGCTACAAATATCACATTTATAAGGTTTTTCTCCAGTATGAGTCAACATATGTTTCTTCAAAACACCTGATTTGTTGGCTCTATAGTCACACAAACTGCAGGGATAAGGTTTCTGTCCAGTATGAGTCAAATTATATTTCTTTAATTGGCTTGATTGGCTAGCCCTATAGTCACACAAACTGCCAGTGTCAGATTTCTCTCCAGTGTGAGTCGACATATGCTTCTTTAAGTTGAGGCCAGACCCAGAAAGATTAGTATTTCCAATAGAATGAGAGATAACCACATTGCTATGAGGGTTGGTCTTCAGAGGATCAGGGACAGATTGTTCATTAGAAAGAGATAAGTTGGGTTGATCGACTGACTCTTGAAAAAGATCACATTGAAATTGTTTACAGTCTACAGGTTCAGTTTTTATGACTAACTTACAGGAATTCATATTACCCACTTCCTTCATTTCCTTCATATCTTCATTTGTAGTAGGTTCAGTCTTGAAGGGCTCATTACTAAATTCAGTGCAGCCATCCTCCAATTTACATGCACAAGATGATGAGCTAGCAGCAGGTTGTTCGATCTCTATCATCTCTATTTTATGATTATCCTTGCGCAACTTTTTAGGTTTTTGTTCCGACATTTCTGAAGAAAAAAAGGTGTAATCTCAATATAATAGTTATGAGTTAAACTAATGACGGAAGGGGGGGGGGGGGGGGGGTAGAAAGTTGGCAAAAAGTGATTATGCAACATGCCAACCACCCCTATTAATTGCCTGAGCAACATATAATTGCTCGAGCAACATGGTCGAAGCTCAATATGAATAACAGTGTTTATATGAGTGTTACAGAATGTTATATGTAGTAATATTATCGGCCGTTAATTTCCGATGTAAATGCTACATTCGCTAGCATCATTTCGTAGATCATCAGAGAATGCATTTACATCACTGCTTATAATATGATAACATGAGTTACACACCTCGGTCAAACCTCAGTATGTAACTCGTTTTATCCAACTCGTCAAACTCGTTGGATAAAACTATTTTCACAACTCAAAGTTATCACATTATAAGCAGTGATGTAACTGCTTATTATGCAACATGCCAACCACCCCTATTAATTGCCTGAGCAACATATACCTTATCGGACCTTATTTGGACGGACATTACATGAACGGACATAATTGTAAACGGACATTAATATGAACGCTCGAAGGCATTCAAAACCATCAAAAATCCGAATTTTTTTCAATTTTTGACTTTTTTTTAATTTCAGCAAATGATTTTTTAATCCATTTTTCTACAGTAAGTAAGAATAGCAGTCATTAAGCAGTAAAAATGTTAAAATATGTGTACATGATCAGTGTCTAATATCACATATCATTTTCATTAAATGGGTTTTCGTGCATGAAATAGTCCATGCTTAAACAAGCATCAGTGATTTCTAGCTTTGTGGAAACCTTTTTTTTTTTTTTTTTTTTTTTTTTTTTTTTTTTTTTTTTTTAATTTTATTTTTTTAATGAGGAACCTGCCAAACCCCAGGACACCAGGAGGATACCACCGGCAAAGCGGCTAATAGTACCCTCCGGTCTGTGTTGTACCGAAGAAGCTGAGTTAATCGATCATGACTCGGCTTACCAGCCAAGAGGCAAAATCTGAGCGGCACCAAGGGTTCAGAGAGTGTCATTTCAGCTTCTCCGGGGTTTCACATGCGCCGTAGCAAAATAAATATAAAAACACACGCACACAATTTTTTTTATTCTTTTAGATAATACGTCGAATAAAGTCAGTGGATATAGAGTAATAAATTGCACATAAGATGGAGAGAAAAAGGAGAGATACTACTGGTTTTAAATGTGACTCTATATCAATACTAGTAGTGGAGATAACTCCACTAGCTACAACTTGTGAAATAAAGGGTAAAGGTAAGGCACGGCTGAATTTTCGAGAAAATAAATAAACAAGAGTGTATAGTGGAACCAGAACTTTGGGTATAAAATGGTCATCAAGGTATAACGTCTTTAAGGCACCGTATAATATCCGGTTTTTCACCTAATAAGTAAAGCTAAAGATGTTTAAGATATCGCTCCCAGATTAGGGGTTCCTTGTTCTGGAAACTCCTTCCAATAAACCAACAGCAAACCGAATTTATGAAGTTAACACTTTTATCTCTGTGATTTAAGCAAATCAAATAGTGACGATATGGGTCGTCATAATTTGCGTCAATATTCGATCTAATAAACAGATTTACTCCCTGTAGGAAAGAGCTTGTGGCTGGACAGTCAATAAATATGTGAGAGATAGTTTCGAGGTTGTGATTACATAACGAGCAATTTGGACTATCTTTTTCAATCTTCATTTTATATCTCATGTACCGACAAGTACTAATCCGGTGAAGGAGCTTATATTGGTACTGAATAAGTTTGAAGTTATTTGAGAAAGAAGTAAAAATATCCGTAAAAATACTAATCCAATCAATATCCGTTAAGGAGAGGTTAGCACTCCAGTTCCTCATTGGAGGAAGGGTGCTGGGATCTAAACGCTTAGACATGGTATCTCTAATGTTTCTACCTTTGATAGTGAGAGGAGTATCTAGAGTTGGGGGTATTCCTACCTCTCCAAAAGCGAAGTGAAAGTTGGGTATCGA